GCATCAAAGATTAAATGATCTTATCTGTGTGCATTTCAATTTATGTTTGAAAAATAGGTATTTTATCTTATATTTATTTAAATTATAGTTTTTTTTATTTAAACTTTATTAATCAAATCTTTTGCAAATTTCTAATAATCTTGAATTATAGAATTGATGGCAAGAAGAAGACTTATTCTGATCCTATTGATTATGAAAGTATAGACAACGTTGATTGTTGGATAATGGAAGAAGATGATTATCCAATTCTTGATTATGATGAATTGGAAAATATGATTTATAATGAAGGAGCAATTCCAATTTGTCATATAAATAAAAAAGAAGGTTAGTCATTAGTTAATTTAATTTTTAATATATTATATCATTTAATGAATAGATAAATGTAAGACTTATTTCTTATATATATATATTTTTTTTTGCATGATTCTATAATTTCAATTTGAAGGCATTGAGGAAGAGCAAGTTGGTGAGAAAGTTGGTGGTTCTAGTGAAGGGATTGAATTAGAAACAATTGGTGATGGATTTGAAGATAGTGATAGTGAGCATGACTTTCCAGAGCTACATGCTTACTTTGATGAAGATGCTCCTCATTTAGGCCAAAATAAATAAATTAGTAATGATACTTCATCTATTTGACATTTGTTTTTATTATGGATTTGATTTGAGACTTTTTGTTATATTCAAGATTTATTTTGTAGTGAATTTATGGATTTTATTTGAGACCTTCTTTTATATTTAAAACTTATTTTGTAGTGAATTTAGTTTAAAATTGAGTTCTTCCTTATTATCATGCTTAATGAACTTATTATATATTTTAATATTTGTTAATTTAGATTTTAAAAATTATATGTATTTAATTAAATTTATTATTTTAAATGACTTAATGGTGATTTTCAAATTGATCTTATGATGATTATTTCTTAAGAATAAAATGAAAGTAATACATAATAGCAAAATCAAATAAATATGTTTAAAAAAAAGTGTTTTTTAGTTGACCAATTGGACCAATCGGTGAACCAATTCAACTGGTTCAACCAGACCCAATGACCAAACCGAGTCAACCATCGAGCCAGGTCCAAAAACATTGTTTGGAGGTGTGTTGTCGACCATGGTGAATCAAGGAGAAGTCGTTAGAGATTAGGGTTCTAATTCCACTTATTTGACAGGGTGAATTGCTGAAGTGTATGATATTATTATTCACAATTGAAAGGTACATGGAAAAGGAAGCATATAACTAGTTGCTATTTACACTGTCCAGAATCAAAGATTCATATAATGAGAGTCAAAGATGTATATCTCCAATAATGAGAGAATCACATCAATCATTACTTTCTTTGAAGAAGGAAACTAAACTTTAGAAATTAAAACCAGAATCAGATAAGGAAATAATCATGAAGAAAGAAAGAGAAACTATGTCAGCAAATCAAACTAGGCAAAGCATAGTTTAAGGAAAGATTGAGGCAACGGTCAAATGGCAATGTTCATATGCTTGATATGAGGAATAGATTCAGGATGCAAACATATTCCTGTATATATATATATATATATCACTGCTGTACTGAAAAATTAACATAGAATACAAATTCAGTATTCTTTACATATCATCTCTGACCTTTAGTTTTCATCACTTTCCTTAACAAAGCCAAATGTAGCAAGTTGAAAATAATGGGAAAAACAAAAAAAAAAAAAAAAAAAAAAAAAAAAAAGAGGAAGAAGAAAGAAAGAGAGAGAGAAAAATGAAAAGGCAAAAAAAATTAAGGACTGCACAAAACATCATGTCCTGTGCATCCCCATTTTAATTAGACATATCACAGTCCAAAATCAAGAATGGACCCATCACAAACATCATGTCCTGTACATGGCAGGCATAGAATACAGGCCGAATGAGATTTATCTTGATATATGTAAGCATTTATAGCAAAAATAAATAATAACAACAATAATAATAAAAGTTCCATTTCCCATTTTCAAAAAAAAAAAAAAAGGGTCAAACCTTAGACTAAACAAACACCATAACCATCACGTGCTACCAAGCAAGCATGGGCCAGCCCTAGCATTTACACAACGGCTACAGAAATCAGTAAATCATATACCGATTTACAAGTTGAGGTCTTTTTTTACCTTTCAAACTTGTTCAGAGGGCCGACGTTCTTCTTCCTTGTTTCGATTGGAGAACCCAGACACCAAACAAAGTATCTGCCAAGCATTTACACAAGAGATAAAGAATTGGTCATTCAAATCGCATATAACTGACTCTTGTACAACCTTTTAACTCATTTTTTACCTTCCAACTTCTGTGGAAGCACAATGCTCTTCAGAAGAAAACCCTAGCTCCTCGTCGTTTCCTTCCTTTAAATTCCCTTTTATGCAAAGGACTGTACAAAAGACTTAGTAATGTTTGATTTATTTCTAAGGAAAAACTTCACCCTCGGAACCCGTTTTCGCTGCAGCGTTTTTGCCATTCTTTGGTAAAAACAAACAAAGCCTTATAAGTTATAACATGTAACACGTCATCGTTTGCTAGAGCTTAATCTCGAGCTGCTAATTTTCTGTGGTTATTTCCGGTTCATCGCCGGAAAAGCCAGCAAATTAAGCTGTCCTTCCAATGGAGGAAGAATACGACGCATAATCAACGACTTTAATCCTGTTTTAACCGCATGTCAGGGTTTATTAAATCCTTCACTTCCACGTTTTTTACATTTTGTCTCACGAGTTTCTAATTTCTTCCATTTGAGTCCTTAAATTTTAAAATCTAGACCCGACAAACGGATCAAGTGGGTTGGGTGACTGAATAGACTCGGGTCAAGAATTTAAGTGGGTTGGGCCAATATGGGTTTCCTAATTTTAAAATATTTTTTTACCTAATTTTTTGCAATACAAATTAATTCCCATTTTTTTGTATTTTTATTTTCACAATATTTAACCACACTTCTTGTAATGTAATGTAAACATATTGAAAAACCAATTCTAATTTAAAAAGATCAAACTAGATTTCTGTATTGTACAACTTGAACTCTTAAATTTTATTAAGACAAGTTATTCCTCACCCCCACTTTGTAGGGGCAAGGGTGATAGAATTGAGTATCTTGTTTTAGCGTAAATAGGATGTTCATGCATATTTGAGTTCCTAGAAAAACTTTATAAAATTAAAGTTGATTAACTTAATAACAACTGTGTCAGTAATTT